AGCCACAGCACCACTTCTGGCTTTTTTCTTTTTGCTTATGTGGTGCTGAGGAATCGAACCCAGGGCCTCAGGCATGCAAGGCAAGCATTCTACCACTGAGCCACCTTCCCAGCCCTCACCTGTGCACCTTTGCCATACCAGCTCCACCTGGCCAGGTGGCTACATGGCTGCACAGTCCCATCCAGGTGTAAAAAAAGATAACTTATGGAAGGAAGAAGTAGCAAACATCCTGGGGACAGCAGACAGTGAGTAGCCACCTGGGAGTGGTTTTTGCTGTAAATAGGAGCTCCGCCCAGAAGTGGGCGGGGTTGAAAGGCATGCAGTGTGAAGAGCAGGGACTTAGTGACAGAAGAAGTTATAAGAGGGTTGTCTGGTGATGGGACAGAAAATCTAGAGACACAGAAAAGGGAAGGTGAGACCTGGCAGAAGACAAGTGCTCCACTGAGTCATGGGCTTTGGATGGGAGCCAGTGCCCAGGCAGAGGGGCTTGGGCCTGGGACTGGAACAGATTTGAGGCTGGGAATAAGAGGTAAGACACTGTTGCCAGGTGCAGTGGTTCACACCTGTAATCCTAGCTACTCAGGAGGCTGAGATCTGAGGAAGTAGGGTATGGTGCAAGTGGTAAAGTGTTTCTTAAGCAAGAAAACCTAGCAAGCTGTGTGCTGGTAGCTCACACCTGTAATCCTATTCAGGAGGTTGAGATCTGAGGATCACAGTTTGAAGCTAGCCAGAGCAGGAAAATTGGTGAGACTCATCTCCAATTAACCACTCAAAATTCCAGAAGTGGAGCAAGGACTCAAAGTGGTAGAATGCTAGCCTTGAGCAAAAGAGCTCAGGGACAGCACCAAGGACCTAAGTTCAAGCTCCATGACTAAAAAAAAAAAAATCCAAGCAAGAGCATGGGGCCATAAGTTCAAGCCCCAGTCCTGGGACAAAAAAAATATATTTTCTTCTGATGGCTTCTACCTGCTCAGTTAAAAATGTGACAAAGTCCTCAGCTGAGACAGCAGGAGCTAGAGGTTGGAAGAATGATGTGCAATCTTAAAGATCCAGAGAGGAGAGCCCAGCACCAGTGGCTCACACCTGTAATCCTAGCCGCTCGGGTGGCTGAGATCTGGGGATCATAGTTCGAAGCCAGCCTGGGCAGGAAAGTTGGTGAGATGCTTATCTCCAATGAACCACCAGAAAACTGGAAGTGGCACTGTGGCTCAAGTGGTAGAGTGTTAGTCTTGAGCATAAAAGCTCAGAGACAATGTTCAGGTACTGTGTTCAAGCCCCACAACTGATTAATTAAAAAAGAAAAAAGAAAGAGGGCTGGGAAGGTGGCTCAGTGGTAGAGTGCTTGCCTTGCATGCATGAGGCTCTGGGTTCGATTCCTCAGCACCACATAAGCAGAAAAAGCTGGAAGTGTCGCTGTGGCTCAAGTGGTAGAACGCTAACCTTGAGCTAAAGAGCTGAGGGACAGTGCCCAGGCCCAGAGTTCAGTCCCCATGACCGACAAGAGAGACAGAAACAGAGACAGAGACAGAGACAAAGACAGAGAGGAATCAGACTCTGTGACTTCCCAGGAAAAGCTATGTATGTGTATGCTTTGTATGGTTTAGGGAACTGGGTACCCCAAGGACCAAGATATAGCACACCTGATTCCCAGAACCAGATAGATGCTTGCATGTGGCTTGGGAGACTGTGTCTCACTGGATAGGGGAAAGGCTTCTGGCACTGGGTAACTGGCCAGGGGCCAAGGGCACCATGATTTCTGGGGTCTTGGCTACACTCAGTTCTTGTGACAACCCCCTTTGGGAATGGCAAGGCGCAGCCATGATGAAAGCCAAATCTTAGTCTTGAGAGGGTAGTGGGGGGCGGGGGCACACCAGATACCACAGCACAGTGGGATGGCCTGGCCACAACGACAGTCAGGAAAAGTTCAGGGCTGTGGTGCTGTCACACATACCCCTGAGGCTGATTCCTAGAGCGTTCTCCAATGGGGGACCAGGACAGTGCCATACATGCTGAGGAAAATAAGGAAAGGCCCGCTTTGTTTCCAGGTTTTTATTTGCCTGTTATAATTCTGATATTTATGTACATATATATATATATACTTTTGTTTTTTTTGTAGAGGGCTCATCAACAGACCAAGCAAAGGCATACAGGGAGGCCGTGGCTGCTGGGCAGGGGACACAGCAGTGCCGGGAGAACCAATCTTTCCTTTCTTTTTCTTTTTTTTTTTGTCTGTTTTTCTTTTTCCTGGGATGGGATCATCAAAGCTAATTGCTATAAAACCTAGAAAGTACCTAGAGACTCAGACATCGGCCTACACACTAGTGGCGTATGGGGAAGGGGCAAGGATACAAACTTTCAAAGTCACGGTGTATTTACATTACCAAGGTGGGGGACAGGAGGCTGAGGAAGAGAACTGGGGATGGGGAGGTTGCTAAGGGGGCTGGGGTTGCAGTGAGGGCTGGGAGAAGGAGAGGTGCCCTTCCCCAGCAGTGACAGAGGCCTCTTGGATGTTGTGTGGTGGGTACCAAAGGCAGCGTGTGTATGGAGCTCCTGAAAGGTGGAGTGGGTGGCAGGAGGCATGTGGACCTGGTGTGGTCTTGGGGAGCAGAGGTTCCGAGCCCTCCAGATGCCCCCCCTATCTGTGGCCAGCCTGTCCAGTTCCCATCCTAACTGGAACAGAAATAGCAAAGAAAACAAGAACAGATGGCAGAGACACCGAGTTCTGTCCACAGTCAAGCTAGGCCAAGGGAGTGGCTGGGCAAGGGAGAGATGCCAACCCTGGTTCTGAGGAGACCCCCAGAATTCTTCCCCCCCCCAGTCAGGGAGCAAGAAGGATGGCATCTTAAAGACACCTCCCACACCACCCCTTTTGTCTCTCATCCCAAACCATGGCCTTTCTGTCCAAACAGGTTGGCAAAGCAGAACCTGAAGGTCCCTGACATGTGGGTGATCTGCCCTAGACTGAGGCAAAGCAGCTCGTGCCCAGAAGGGGTACAGCTGGGTTTTGGCAATAAAGTGGGGAGTGGGTGGTAAGAAGGGGATGTGAGGCTGCGAGTTCCTCTCTTCGGCCCCAACTCAGCCTCCTGCGGGCCTGGGAGGACATGAGGGAGGGGCCTCCACACAGGCATCGGGCCGGGGTGTCTTGGCCACTGGCCCTCCTGCACTCTGGCCATGGGCCAAGCACATCCCGCCTCATCCGGCTGGCCCTTACTATTCTAGGGCTGCAGCAGGGTTGATGGGGGAGGTGGCCCCTGAGCTGTCATTGCCGCCTGCTGCCTCCTTCTCTTTCTTGCCACTGTACTGGCCGATGAAGGAGCCATCCTCATTGAACTGTACATCCACACTGCCCCCATAATCAGCCAGGCTGTCATCACTGCCCAACGGCTTGATGTCTCCGTTGAGAGATGGCTGACTGCTGCCAAAGGCCTTCTCCTCATTGTCACTGTAGGGATGAGAGGGGAGGGTCGGAGTCCAGCCTCCAGTGGGGGCCCAACTAGGGACATGGTGGGTTCCTATCCATTTCCATTTGCCCTGACCTAGCAAGCAACTCTAATGGCTCATCTTTGCCCCCCCCCATTCCCCCTGGGAGGACAGGCTGTACACATCTGTGCATATGCCCGCTGCTGGGGCCTCCAGTGGGAGAGGAGCAGCTGGGAAGGTGACCTGCAGCAGGGGGAGGAGCAGCAGAGCATGTAGGGTTTTCTCTACAAGGAGAGCTATTGCCCAGGGGACAGCTCCAGGAGAAGCCACCAGGGGGGACCCTGGCATTCCCAGGCATGCACTATCCATAGGGAACTCCCTGTCAATGGGTTTTGACAGTCCACTCCTACTGCCCCACCTTACCTCTCCAGGGACCTGGTGTCACCCCGAAGCACAGAGAAGAGAGAAAGAAAATGTCAGCTATGAACTTTAGGCAAAACTGGGGCCAGCACTGGCTCCTGCCCAGGCTCACCTGTATTCGCCAAAGGTTTCATCTTTCATTGGCCGGGCTTCAGAGTCCACCTGGGTGTCCTCCTTGTCCTTCACTGCAGATGCACACAGGATGTCAACTTTCAATCCTGCCCCTACTCTGACTCAACTCTGTGAATCCCTCCATGCCCCGAGTGCCCCCCAGTACTCAGTCTCAGTGGCACTGGGTGCCAGTGGCTCACGCCTATGATCCTACCTACTCAGGAAGCTGAGATCTGATGATCACAGTTCAAAGCCACCCCAGGCAGAAGAATTCCCCAAGATTTTTATCTCCAAATATCCAGCCAAAAGCTGGATGTGGCACTGTGGTAGAGTGCCAGCCTTGAGTGAAAAGCTAAGGGACAGTGCCCCTGAGTTCAAGCCCTGGGACTGGCACACACACACAGTTCAAGCGCACACACAGTTCAAGCCCACACACAGACAAAGGCGAGAAGCCTATGGCGGGTGATCCACTCACCCCACCTAGGCTCAGCTACCATCTTCTCAACCTTAGCCCAGAAGGAAAACAGCCCAGGCCTGCGGCCCGCCCACTGAACCCACACTTCCTTGCCACAGCTTGGAGACTTGGGGAGGTTTGTGGGAGGGACAACGAGGCAAGGTGGCCTGTGGCTCCTCTCTCCCCTTAGCTGTACCACCTACACGCTGAGCTGGTAGGAGGGCAATCCGCATGTGGCTGGAGGGGTTACCTGAATATTTGCCACCCTTGCTGCGCTTGATAAAGCAGAGGATGAGCAAAATGAGGAGCAAGAGAATGGTGGCACTGACAAAGCCAATGAACCAGCCCTCGGTGGTGAAGCCAAAGCCAGTGGGATGAGTGATTCTCACTCGGCCTAAAGAGGGAGAGCAGGAAGAAGACAGAGCCCAGCCCCTGTGGTGAACAGTGACAGCAAGGCAGGTGCCACCACCCCACCCTGAGCCCTAGGCCTCCCAGTCAGGGCTTTGTGCCCAGGCCTCACTTGGAGCCGCAAAGGCCTCTGGGACACAAGAAGGGAGGAGGGCCCTCTGGCAAAAGTATGAAAAGGTGCAGGAGTTCAAAGAGCAACCAGAATCTAGGAGGAGAGAGAAGCAAGGGGTAGGGCCTGGTGGGTGGGGCCTACGGAAGCAAACTGGATAGGAACAAGCACAACCCTCTGGCAATGGCAGGCAAAAGTGGCCCCTGAGCCTCACCAGTGCCATTGGTCTTCACAGCCATCTGGTGCAGGATCTTGCTCTCCTTAATCAGATGGATCTCATACTCGGTGTCGGGCTGCAGGTCCTTCTGTGTGTAGGAGCTCTGGTTGTAGCTGACTGACTGTGACTGGAGATAAGCACTCCCCTTCGCCTCTGAACCAATGAGAGAGGGCGGCAGGCAAGGGTGACCAAGGGCGTCAGATGGCCCCTCTGGACCCAGAGCCCCAGATCTCTGCCCCAGGAACCAATCTACACTCACCTGCTGGAGGTTTGAACCGGATGTGGAATTGGAAATTGCACTGGCCCTCCCTAGGAACCCAGGAGATGATGCTGTAGTTCTCACCTGCCATAGCTGAGATGTTGCCAAAATCTGGACTCCCTGGGGGAGGCACAAGTGGGGGGGGCAGCTGGTGGGACCCACTGTATAGTGTAAAGCCTGCTGTTCTGAGCTCAGCTGCTAGCCCAGAGCCCCTACAGCCACGGGCAGCCACCAGCAGGCCCTCCCACTAGCTCACCAGACAAGGCCATGGTGCCTCCTTCTCGAACAATGGCCTCGCCAGGGCCCTGGCTTGTGGTGGCCTGAAGCTGGAAGCGGTAGCGCAACGAGGGGCTGAGGTTGGTCAGGTTGTGTGTCCGAAGCTCTGGGTCAGGGAGATCGAAGGACAATTGCTCCTTGCCTCCCACATCCACTGTGGAAACAAGTGAGGGCTCGCTTTGGCTGCCAGCTCTGGCTCTCCCTCATGCTGGAGGGCCACCTCCCCCTCCCCCCACCAGGCACGCTCCACGCACAGGGGTGGTAGGACAGCACGTAGCCAGTGAGAACACCATTGTGGCTGAGTGGGGGCTGCCAGTGTAGCAGCAGGCTGGTGTCTGACTGGCACTCCAGGTGCAGTGACTCAGGGTGGCCAGGCACTGCAGGGAAGAGAAGGGCAGCAGGTCAGCACGCAGGCTGGAAGGGGAGCAGCAGGGGATGGCCGTATGGATGTCACACTCACCTCCCTCTGGGGTGATGAAGGTCAACTCCTTGGCAGGCCCCAGCCCCCGCCCATTAAAGGCTTGCACCTCCAGGTGGTAGGAGCTGTAGGGCCGCAGGCCACTGAGGATGGCCCTAGTGGTGTTGGCAGGTACCACCACGTGGCCTTTGTGGACATGCCGCTTGCTGTGCTTCCTCTGACTGCCTGTCCACCAGTATGTCACCTATACAGGTGGACGGAGCATCTCAACAGGGTAGAAGGTGTGCAGGGGAGACCCCAGGGTGTGTTCCCCACCACCCTAATTTATCAGGGACCCTTTCCTCCCAACCCAAGGACTTCCAGGAAGAGTCCCCACCCTCAATCCCATTCCTTTCCCTAGAGGCTTCCCTGTTCCCGCCACCTGAACTCTTACATTGTATCCACGGAGGTGACCCTTGACCTGTGCCAAGTCCACAGGCCACCACTTGACCAGCACAGTGCTTGAGTTGAGGGCCTCGATGACTTCTATCTCAGGGCTCACCTGGGGGTCTAGAAAGAGCCAGAGACTTGGAGAGGGCCACAGGTCCTAGGCTGGGCCCTAAGGTCAGCCCCAGAGCCCTTTTCCATGGGACAGATGGGTCTAGATGCTATGAGTTGTGCATGTTGTCATGGTTTCCCCAGAGAGAAATAATAGAGAAACTGACCAGGTAATCAAAGTTAACATCTGGCACCATTCCAAATTCAGGAAGCTATCCCAAGAAGGGCAGCTTGTACAGCTTAAATGTCCAATACCTGAGCTGCTGGCACTGGAAGTGTTTGAGGTTTATTTTGGATTCTTTTAGATTTTGGAATATTTGTATATAGAAGAGATACCTTGGGGATAGCCTTCAAATTGAAACAAAAAGCTGGGGACCAGTGGCTCACACCTGTAATCCTAGCTATTCAGAAGGCTGAGATTTGAGGATCGTGGTTCAAAGTCAACCCAGGCAGGAAAGTCCATGAGACTCTTTTCTCCAATAAACTACGCAGAAAAAGCAGGAAGTGGTGCTGTGGCTCAAGTTGTAGAGTGCTAGCTTTTTATACAAAGAGGCTCAGGGACAGCACCCAGGCCTTGAGTTCAAGCCCTAGGACTGGCAATAAATAAAATAAATCTAGACAAAAATACTGTGTGTGTATGTGTGTGTGTGTGTGTGTGTGTGTGACCTAGGGCCTTATGCTTGCTAAGTGAGCAATTAACTACTGAGCCACATCCTTGGTACCTATATATGTATTTCATATAAGCCAGGCAGAGCCTGAAAGGAATTTTTTACTATAATATTTTTAGTGAGCCTTGTTGTATCTTTTACATGAGGCCAGGTATGGAATTTTCCAATTAGGATGTCACACTGACACAAAGTTTCCAATTTTGGAGCATTTCTGAGTCAGATTTTCAGATGTGAGATGATCAACCTGCACTAGATCCCTGTATGGGAGGAGGGAAGAGAGCGTTGCTTGATACAATAGCAGTACTGGCTGTCAGTTGCAGAAATATATTGTATCCAGGTGTAGAATTTCATAATGTCACTCATCATGTAGAACAATGTTCTTATTTGTAGGAATGGCGCCCTGAGACTGGCAATGGCAGATGGGAAGCTGCTGTGTACGCATACACACTGACCCAAAATAGGTTCCACTCTGGACGTGGGCCCTTTCTGATACTTACAGTCCTCTCCGGAGTAGCCAATGATGACCTGAGGCTCAGGGCCCTTGCCCTGGCTATTGACCGCCTGGACTTTGATCTCATAAGGCACGAAGGTGGATGTGTTAGAAACCACTAGCAGAGGGTCGCTCACGGTCCGTTCCTGCCAGGTCCCCCGAGTGCCCTGCGGACGCCACTGTACACGATACTGAACCTGGGGGGCGTTCCAGTCCATCCACCGGAGGGGCTGGAGGGGACCAGCACAAAAGGAAAGGTTGGCCAAGAATTATGGCCTTCTATGCCTTGCCCCCAATGCAAATATTCCCAGGCAGTGGCCTCCTCCTAAGCACAGCCAAGGGACAGCAAATGCCTGGGTCCTGGCCACACATCCCGAGGACGTCAGCCCAGGACCCCTTACCTTCCAAGTGATGACCATATTGTTGGTTTCATTCCCCTCCCCTTTCACATCCACTGGGTTCTTCTCAGGGGCTAGAAAGTAACACATTATGAGAACAATGGGGCTGGGGGGGCAGTGGCTCACACCTGTATTTCTGGCTCCTCAGAAGGCTGAGATCTGAGGCTCTCAGTTCAAAGCCACACTGGGGAAGAAAGTCCATGAGACTCTTTTTATTTTTTTTTGAGGGGGGGAGGTCCAGTCGTGGGGCCTGAACTCTGGGCCTGGGTGCTGTCCCTCAGCTCTTCAGCTCAAGGCGAGCGCTCTACCACTTGAGCCACAGTGCCACTTCCGGCTTTTTCCTTTTGGCTTATGTGGTGCTGAAAAATCTAACCCAGGGCCTCATGCATGCAAGGCAAGCACTCTACCACTGAGCCACCTTCCCAGCCCAAGTCCATGAGACTCTTATCTTCCATTAATCAGAAGAAAAAAAAAAAGAAGCCAGAAGTGGAGCTGTGGCTCAAGTGATAGAACACTTGCCTTGAGCAGAAAGGCTCTGGGACAGAGCCCAGGCTCTGAATTCCAGCTCTTAGACAGTGCGTGTGCACGCATGTACACGCACACATGCACGCACGCACGCGTGCACACACACACACTTACAAAACAATGGAAGGAAAGGCCTTCTGGCTCCAAAGGCCAGAAGCCAGAAGCCCCAAGGGTCCAGCACAGCACTCCCCAGGGGCCCTCGACACTGAAAGCATAGGAGCAGCACCTCTCCCTACATTCCCTCTTAGCCCCAGGAACGGGGTGACCTGGGAGAGGGTGCTTCCCTCACTCACCTGCCTCAGGTGTAACCACAGTCTCAGAGGCTGGGCTAGGTTCCCCAGGGCCATATTTGTTGATGGCAGTGACCCTAAAGGTGTAGTGGACATATGGCGACAGCTTGAGGGTGGCAGAGGTCTGGTTCCCTGGCACCTTGCCCAGACTGTACCATTTCTCAGGCGCCCTTTCCTTGTCCTCAAATTCAATGTCATACTCTGCCAAGAAGTGAAGCAGTAATGGAGTAATCGGCCTGTGGCTTAGCACACAGGGCAGTGGGGGATGGGGACAAGTTTGGCTCTTCCTGAGTCCCAAGCCACTGGGGAATCCCACAAGAAACCATGAGTGCCCAGAACATAAGTGCATGCCCCAGTAAGGTGGGTAGTTCTGCCACCACGGCCCTCGGAGGAAGGTGGGCCCCAGGAAGAGTTAGGGCCAGCGGGGGTCATGGTGGGCAGGGGATAGCACAGATGTCTTACTCTCAATGGGGGCGTTATGGTCTTCAGCAGGGCTCCAAGACAGGTGCACCTGGCTCTGTTTTAGCAGGTGATGATCGGACAGCTCCAGCAGAGGCACCGGCCCAGGACTCCCTGAGGGGAGTGGAGGGGGGACTCTTTGGCCCTCCACTTCAAGAGCCGCATACCACCCCCCTCTGCCAGCCTAAAAGGGATTGGCAATATGAACCTGATCTTCCTGGGGCCACATGCCCATTTCATCTCGGCACTTACCCACCACCAAGAGCTGAGCCCTGCTCTCCACCTCGTCCAACTCAGTGCTGGCGACGCAGCTGTAGTTGCCCTGGTCTTTGTATTCTAGGTTGTGGATGACTAGGCGCCCGTCGTCTATGAAGTACCTGGGGAAGGGGCTGTGTTTATCCTTTACCTCTCAGGAACCACACTCCTTCCCCACCATCTGGTCTCCTCTCCTCCCCCAGATTGCATTCCCCCTTCAGCCAAGGACCTCCCTGTGAAGCAGCGCGGCTTCCTGCATGGCCAAGGCATGTGTGTGCCTTGAGCTCTTCCCCATCTATGCCCCGCCCCCCTGCTCCAAGTTTGGGGCTGAGCCCTCACTTGTCACTGTCCCCAAGTTCCTGGAGGTCTCGCCCATCCCTACGCCAGGCGAGGCGGGGCTGCAAGGAGGGATCAAAGGAGGCCTGACACGTAAATGTCACCCTTGAGCCTTTCTTCTCAGTTGCGTTCCGGGGCCCCTGTGTGATGTGGGTTGCTTCTGGAGGGTGATGAAGAGGAGGGGGAGGGAGAGTCACTGTGAGGTACTCCAGACACCCTGGCCCTCCCTCGCAGGGACGCCGTATCCACTGACCTTTAACCTGCAGGTTAGCCACAATAGTCACATTGTTCTGGTCATTGGCAGCCTGGCAGAAATAGCGTCCAGTGTCATTGGCCTGGAGGTCTCGGATGCCCAGGGTCCCATTGGCATAGGGGAAGAACCGTTCGTCCTGAAGTACTGTGGTCCCTCCCTCGTCCAGCCTAGAACGAACAGTTGGGCCTGGCTCAGACTAACTGGCCTGGGCTCCCTGAACCAGACCACAGCTTACTGGTCCCCACCGGAATGAGGCACTCACCACTGGACACTGGGCACAGGGGCCCCGAAGGCCTTACACAGCAGGTAGGCAATGCTGCCCTCAACTGCCATGTATGTCTGGTTGTCTCCTGTGAGGATTCTGGCTGGCAACTCTGAGGGAAGAATAATCCAGAAGACGGGGCAGGAATAGGGACCACAAGTTGGAGAGGAGCCAAGGACTCTCTACCCAGCATCCCCAGGCCACATGGCTGGCTTCCTGTATCTCTGCCTTAAGTGTACCGTGGATGTATTCCAGTCATCTAAATGTCACCAATGACTCAAGGCCCCACTAGCAGTCTGCCTCTTCCCAGTTCAGCCCTGTCTTCCCTGAGACTGCAGAAGCCAGCCACCAGGCTGGCATGGGGTCCCATCTTCCCCAGGGTGCACCTCTGCTCAATCATGATGGTAAGACCCTGCCCTTCCTACGTGTGCCCCCCCTGCTGTGTTGGGCAAGGAGGATACACGGGGGTGAAGGGTCTCATCAAGGAGCATGGCAGCCTGGTACACTGGGGACATACCAAAATGCTAACTGAATCATTTGGGGGGGGGGTTGCAGGAGACAGAGTGGGGATTACGAGCAATGCAGGTAGGGCGGGCAGGTGGGTAGGCACGACATGCTGGCACTCACGGACAACATGGATGTAGGCGTTGGCCAGCAGGAGCCCATGCTGGTTACGGGCCTCACACTGGGTCACCATTGTGTCGCTGGGTTGCAGGTTGCTGAGGGTCAGAGTGCCCTGATGGATCCGGTACTTCTGGTCCTTGGGCAGCTCTGCGTGTGCAACAGGCCAGAGCACTGAGCCATGCTGAGGCGGCTCCTCATTCCCCTCCACATTCCTGGGGTTCACAATACTCACTGCCCCTCCCAAGGCCCTGCTCACCCTCCACAGGGATCCCGTTGATTTTCCAGGTGACCTCAGGTTGGGGCCTGCCCTGGACCTGGCAATCCAAGCGGGCAGTCTCTCCTGGCCCATACAAATGGTTCTGAGGCATATGGAGCCAGTATGGGGAGGCTGAGAAGAAAAAGGAAGCACCCTTTGCCGGCAGCCTGAGGTTGCCCCACGTGTAGACCCTGCCCTCCCCTGTTACCGTGGCCAAGCAATCGAGGGAGGCTGTACCAGGCTGAAGCCCATACCCTCCACGTTGATATGGTAGACATGCTGGGCAGTGCCCAGCGAGTTCTCAGCCAGGCACTGATACTCGCTGCTGTCATCCTCCTCGCCCACATTCAGCAAGTGCAGAGTCTTATTGTGGTTCTGGTAGATGGCACGGTCTGCTGGCATGGGGCCACCAGGACGTAGCCACTTGATGGTGGGTGTGGGGCTGCCCGAAACCATGGTTCAAGGAGGAGAAAAGACAGGAGAAGGGACAAGGCCGTTGAGCCCACAGGCCTAAGCCTCTGCTGGGGTCACCCAGCCCTAGGCCTCCCCTGCACCAAACACCCAGACTCACAAGCCCTCAGCGATGCACTCCAGGACCAATGATTGCCCCTGCAAGGCCACTGGGTTGCTGCTGGAGTTGGTGGGGAAGAGCAGGCGTGGCTTCCTGTCAATCATGCTGTTGGCTGCCAGGAAAAGGGGGAGGTGAGTCACAAAGCTGGGTGCCCTAGTGAGGCCCTCAGTCTGTTTGCTACTCCGCTTTAAAAAATGGCTGGGGAGTTGGAGAGTGGTGTCTCACACCTATAGTCCTAGCTACTCAGTGGTAGAACTCTAGCCCAAGATGTGTGAGGCCTTTGATTCCACCCCTAGCACTGAAAAAAAGAATGCCTACTGGGTATGGTGGTGCACTCTGGTAATCCCAGCATTCATTTGGGAAGCTGAGGCAAGAAGATCACAAACTCAAGGCCAGCCTGGGTTACATAATGACACCTTGTCTCAAAATAAGAAGTGTGCCTGCCTGGGTGCCAGTGGCTCACAACTGTAATCCTAGTTATTCCAGAGGCTGAGATCTGAGGACCATGGTTCAAAGCCAACCTGGGCAGGTAAACTACCAAAAGCCAACCTGGGCAGGTAAACTACCAAAAGCCAACCTGGGCAGGTAAACTACCAAAAGGCCAGAAGTGGAGCTATGGTTCAAGTGGCAGAGTGCTAGCTTTGAGCAAAAGAAGCTCAAGTTCAGAGCCCAGACCCTGAGTTCAAACCCCAGGACAGGCATGCGCGTGCGCGCGCGCGCGCACACACACACACACACACACACGCACACGCACACGCACACACACACACAAGAAAGTGTGCCTGATCTCTTTTTTTGCCACCTGACTCAGAGTGGGGTGGAGACAAGAGCTAAATTGTCTCTGAGGAAGCTTGGGGTTATCTGTTCTCTCTCTGCTGGGATGGGCAAGGCCTGACAGTGAGACGGAACGGAGGGATGGAGGACTGGCAGAGCTTGTGGCACTCACTGGCCTTCACCCGGAGGTCAATGGGCTCCTTCTGAATGATGGTCCGGGTGCCCAGGAAGTGGGCATTGCAGATGTAGTCTGAGTGGTTGTCTGAGGTGAGTACATTGGCAAAGTAGAGGTTGCCATTCTGGCCCATTGTCACCCGTTCATCCTGCTTGATGTGCAAAATCTCTGCAAAGGGGGCAAGGAGGTAAAGTCAGGAATTGTTCTAGAAAGATCTTCCCCCCAATGACACTGCAGCCCCCAGCAGCAGCTCCTCCCACACGCACTGCTGTTCATCCAGTAGATCCGGAGCGGCTCCGCACTGGGTGGAGGGTTGCAAGGCAGAACCACCGACTCCCCTTCCTCCACCTCCACAGGCTTCACTGTCTCCTTTGGCCACTTGGGGGCACCTAGGAGGGATGGAGAGGCTGGTACTCTCTTCCCCGTCAAGGCAGTCCAAGACAGGGGACAAGAGGAGGGAGGGCTATCCTGGAGATGGACAAGGCTGTGAGAGGCCCAGGTGGGGAGGTGGAATCTGCATCTTTCTTGGCTCGCAATGAACACTGGTACCTCACAGGGATGAAAGGGTGGAGCAGGACTAGGAGACCATGAAGGGTTAACCTTCCACCATTCCCAGCTCTCCTGTCCACCCTGAGGAAAGGACAAGGATGAGTGGGGGGAGGCTGAGGTACAGTCGTGGGGGAGGGGAGCTGTGGACGGATGAGGGAGTCACAGACCCTTCCATCATCTTGACACAGAAACCATGGCAACGGTTCCCAAGGTAACTGGCGGGCTGAGGGAGGGGAGAGAAGTGAAAGCTCAGGGAGGATGGAATGCAGAGGAAAAGCCCCAGGGAAAGGGCGACACAGATAAAGACAGAGCCCCAGAGCAGGAAGGAGTGAAGGGCAGAGTGGGAGCAGTAGAAAGAGAGGTGAGGATGGCAGCAGAGCTTGAAGTGGGAAAACTGAGGGGTGGTGCCAGATAAATAGCTGAGATGGACAGAGATGACCCGAAAACAGTGGAGAAGGAAACAAGGCAGAAACAGAGGCCCCTACACTCCAGCTAGAGAGTGACTCAGATAGGGACATGGCTAGCCAGAGGCAAGGGCACACCAGGCACTAGGGCAACCATCACCGGCAGTTCTACTAGACAGGAAGTGAGAAAGACCGAGAGAAGGAAGGGGGAAATGAGATGAGAAGTTCAGTGGAGAAAGAGATGTGGCAAAGACCGAGCCGACTTTAGGGTAAAAGAGGAAGAGGTACTGGGGTGGGCCACATGCTGGCAGAACACACAGACCCTTCCAATGCTGCTCATCAGCTCAGTAGCTGCCAGCCCAGACCCCCGTACCAGCAGCCAAGACCTGTGCGACAATGTCATTCAAATATCCCAGCTCCTCCCTCCCTCCCTCCCTAGTCCCCATAATGCCTCGCACCCTCTGCCATGAGCTGGATCTCATGAGAAATTGCAGTGCCCAGCTTGTTGCTGGCAAAGCAGCGATAGATGCCCTGGAACCTCTGGGCAAAGCTGTTGTTGCCTGTGATGGTGAAGGAGCCAGAGTGGGGTGATTCGTGCACGGTCACCCCCACTTCTTCCTTGGGCTTGAAGTGGATGCCATCCTTTGTCCAACGAAACCTGTGGGCAGAAGAGAATTCAGAGGCTGGAGATGCTGGCACCTAGGACAGGGACTGAAATGGGCTGGAGGCAAGGGTTCGCACAGCCTGGAGCCCATGCGAGAACTCAAGACCATAAGCGAGCTTCTGGACTAAGGAGTTAATTGGCTCAGAGAGGCCTAGCAACTGGAAGCTGAGGTCAGCAGTGAACAGCAGAGACTCAGAGTATGGGGGTAACTCACTGCACTTCCGGTTTGCCTCTGGCTTCACACTTGAGGCTGATGTCATCTGTTGGGAAGACAACCACACGTCGTGGAGACTGTTCGGTGATGACGGGGGGCTCCATCACTGGGGACAGGATGAGAAGATTGGTGGTAAAAATTATGTCTGCCTGCCATCAAGCCTTTGACCTTGTCCCACTGAGAGGGAAATAGTGTGTGTGGCCTTGTGGCCATGGAAGAGAGAGCGGGGGAAGAAAATACCCAGCTGGGCTGGGAAGGTGGCTTAGTGGTACAGTGCTTGCATTGCATGCATGAAGCCCTGGGTTCCATTCCTGAGTACCACATACACAGCAAAAGCTGGAAGTGGTGCTGCGGCTCAAGTGGTAGAGCACTAGCCTTGAGCACAGAGAGGCTCAGGAATAGCACCCAGGCCCTGAGTTGAAGCCCAAGGACAGGCAAAAAAGAAAAAAGAAAAAGAAAAGAAATTACGCAGTTGTGGGACATTAAGAGTGAAGCTGAGAGTTACACAGAAATAAACGTGTGGAGAGGAATCAAGAGAAGAAACAACAAAAGCCAAAGCTGCAGAAACTCCCCTGGCAGGAAGAGGGCACATTGGAAGGACAGCAGTAGATGGAAACCATGAGTAGCAGAAATCTCAGCATGGGCACAGAGCAAGGCCCCAAACTGGTAAGAGAGAAGCTTCCAGGAGCCTCTATATTGTGACAATGGGGACAGAGACCCAAGACCCAGGAAACACTTCCGCCAGACCTGCATACTGCATACCAGGAGACAGGGTGCTACCTATAGGGGATATGTGTGTGCTGGCTCAGCCAAGGCCCCTCTTCCTTCTGGGCTTGACCTTCTGAGCCACACTCCCATCCCTCCTCCCACTTACCGTGGTGTCCTTCATCTGAGCAGTCCGGATAGCAAGGGAAAAAAGGGAGAGAAATGTTGAGAGGCAGCCCCGGCCGGCACAGCCTTTGGAACAGGAGCAGCAGGCTCAAGCAGACACTCATGGGGACGGGATGGGAAGGGGGACAATGAGACATGCCAGGCGGCAGCAGTGGCAGCTCAAGCCCAGGGAGGCAGGACAGAGTCCAGATAATTCCTCCCTAGGTGGGGGACTGCCCAAGGAGAGGGGCTTCTCCACACTGAGATGGGGAGTGTAGGAGGGTGGGGGGGGGATCTTGCCTTTAACCAGGAATGACGTTGCAGCCCCCAGACAAGGCCTGGGATAACCATGTGCTGAACTGGCCTGGCCCCACCCAGGATGTAATGGACGATTGAGAGCAGACAGCCAACAACCAGCACACCCTCCCCTGCTCCAGCCACTTCCCTCCTAATCCAATTAGCACAGCTCAGTGTTTTCAATTACCCAAGCCCAGCCTTCAGAGCCCGGCGGCCCCTCCCCTTCCAAAGCCTCCCAAAGGCCCTGCTGCATCTGAGTCTCCACAGCCTGCAGGGCAGGAATGGCGCCAGCCCTCCTTCGGTCCCCTTCCTTCCTCTCGGGTGGCCACCAAGCGCCCTGGGGCAGAGGTCAGAGCAACTGCCCCAACCCTAGGACTCCAGGGAGCAGAAGCAGGGAGGGGACTGACGGAGGGGAGAGGAGGCAGAGGAACAGAGGGTTGGCTCTGAAAGCTTTGTCTCTGAGAAAGACCTCAGTGTAAAGTATAAAGCCCCCCCCCAAAGGAAAAGGCTCCCTAGGGACAGCTCAGTGGGCCCTGAGCTGGAGAGGGGCCTGCGCAGACAGCCCAAGAGCAAGACAGTGACAAGGATGACAGGACAGGGAAAACTCCATAGTGGAGGAAGCAGGTAAAGAGACAAAAGGGCCTGGTTGGGCTGGAAAAGAAAAGGTAGAGGGGAGGTTTCAATAGGGAAGCCTTGGGGCTGCTACAGTCTCTAGAATAATTCTCTCTCCTACTCTTTGCCATTAAAAAATGTATCTCTAAGCTGGGCGCTGGTGGCTCACCTCTATAATCCTAGCTACTCAGGAGGCTGAGATCTGAGGATCTGGGTTCAAAGCCAGCTCAGGCAGGAACATCTGGGAGACTCATCTCCAATTAACCACCAGAAAACCTAAAGTAGCCCTGTGGTTCAAGTTGCAGAGCACTCACCTTGAGGTGAATTGCTCAGAGACAGTGCCCAGGCCCAGAGTTCAAATCCCATGAAGGACAAAAAAAAGTCTCTGTCCTCATCACATGCAGACACACCCAAGTAAGATGGTCCAGCCTTTTTGCTAGTAGGGTGGGCTGATAGCCTGAATAAGGCCCTGGCATTCATACCAGGAGACAGTGCTTGAAAAACAAGGGAGAGAAGGCAGAGGACAGGAGGACCAGTACATAGCTATGAATATACAAACATGGGGGTCTGGGCACATAGGAGGATGTGCATATTGCCATAGATTGTCCAGTATTTGTAGTCTATCTGTTCATTTGGGGCTTTCCCAAGTACACCTGTAGATCTGTTTGTGTGTGCTCGGGTTTCAGTGTACAGTGTTATAGGTCACCCCAGGGTATACCCAACCCTGTGTCAGTATGGAAGACTATGCCTTTGTGTGTATCTGGTGGCGGAGCCTCTAGTTGGAACAGGTTTCTGACTCATCTGAGTCAGTGCCATTCCCATGTCCCTGTGGATCTATGGGATTCTGCGTGGGGTGACTGCACAGATGTCCAAGTGCTGTGTTTCTAAGGGGGCATCCCAACATCTATCCTACCAGCCTATCATCTCCAAACTCTTGCTGCTCCCTTATGCCAGTTGTCTCCCAAGCCTATCTCTCTTGCCTCCTATCCCATCCCTACTTTTCTCCACCCCTGCTACCTAAATGGTCTCACTACGTCCGGGCTCAGAGAAAAAGGTGGCAAAATGAGGCATAGAGGGGATTAGACCTTGTAGCTGAAGACACACAGATCTCTTATACATGGTAATCTATATAATACTCTATTTTTTCTTTTTGTCATCCATAGGGCTTGAACTCAGGGGCTGGGCACAGTCCCTGAGTTTTCTTGCTCCTGTCTTGGCTTGCTTTGAGCCACAATCCTCAGATCTCAGCCTGTGAAAAGCTAGGATTACAGATGTGAGTCACCAGTGTCCCATGAAAATGCTCCTCTGTAAGGGACACTTGCCACTCAGGCAAGTGTGTTTACAAGTCTTGCCATACTAAAGAAAAATTCTTACCCCAGTAAAAATAACCCCACATGCAAACATGTGCTCATCCACATGTACACACAACTCTCTATGATCAAATATTAAAGTCAAATAACTCCAGAGCTTTACAGATCTGATCAATAAATAACTGTTACAATGATTCACAGACTTACCTATGCAGGAAATCAAAATTATATTCACAAATATCCACACTTAGTCAAGACACACACAACACCCACACAAATATGCAATCTGCCTAGCTCACAAAGCATACACAAATACTCATGTTTGAGTCACAACCTTATTAGTCATACTCATTAGCATACTCTGCATGTACCTGTGACTCCCCTGCCCCTCAAGAAAGTTACAGTCATAGACACATGCTCCAGTAGCCTCCCTCCATGTCCACAAAATAATTACACACAAAAATAAAAGATCCAGGGGCTGGCAAGGTGGCTCAGTGGTAGAGTGCTTGCTTTGCATGCATGAGGCCTTGGGTTCGATTCCTCAGCACCACATAAGCCAAAAAAGCCAGAAGTGGCACCATGGCTCAAGTGGTAAAGCACTAGCCTTGAGCTGAAGAGCTGAGGGACAGTGCCAAGGCCCAAAGTGCAGGCCCCACAACTGACACACACAAAAAAATAATAAAATAAAAGATCCAGAAGGTTGTTAGGTTGGGACCTGGTTTTTTCTAGGGCCCCAAATAGGCCAGTTTGGGAGTGCCTAATCTTGTAATGAAATTGAGACTTTCAATATGGTAGCTAAGAATTAGGGATTACCCCCGTTCTCCTGACCACCATATCCCTGGGTGCGTCTAGGGGGAGCAGAAGCAGAGAAGCTGGGGTGAGGTGGGAAAGGATAGGTTAAGGGTCTCAGACGGCACAGGAGACCCCACATGCCAGCGGCCAGCCTTCCGCACGGACTGCTGTCCGTGGTGCTGGAATGGCACGAGTCCCTGTCCATGGTGCTGACACGCCCTGTGCTTTCTCCTTTTACCGAACGCCTGGGTACCTGGTACTCAGAAAAGAAGGGGTGAGAGTCCAGAATAGGAAGGTCAGGAGGTAGAAGATTTTACGAAGGCCTAGAACAGCAGCGAGTGAAGGTGCTGAGGCTCCTTGCGACTACTCACATTCGTCGGGAATCTGGATCAGCAGGCAGGGGCTGCAGAGGAGCAGCGGCCACACGTACCACAGCGCCACGTCCATCTTCCCAGCAGCGCCAGCGGCGGCTTGGCGCGGCACAGCCCGCCGGGCTCAGCTCACGCTCCCGCCGGAAGGAAGGGGGCTGATGGTTGACTTAAGGTAGAGCTGCCGGTGGTGAAGGGGGCACCAGGGGAAGGGAAGAGGAAAGAGAAGGCGTGGGGAAGGGACAAGAGAGAATGGACGGATGGACATTAGTGACTAACATCTGGGCCAGCCAGGATCCTAGCCCCGCCTTCAGCCCCTCCCCCAGCCGCCAGGGGGAGGGGCGGCTTCCCCATCCTGTCTCTCCCCACTCCCCACCCCACCTTATAGAAGAAACCTGGAAGAGATAGCCTTGGCTTAGCTTCCAGGTTGCCTTCCATTCCCTTCTCATTCTGTCTATGCCTTCCTGCCAGCTGCCTCCCCAACACCAACTTGTTGCCCCAATCAACCCCCCTTGTGCATGCTGCCAGCTGCTCTGTGCATGCTTTCCCATGTGTGTCTTGATGTGCCTATAAGTAGGTGTGCATGGGCATGTGTGTAGATGGGGATTTGCATATACAGAGGAAGCCAGATCCACACCAGAATTTATGTGGCTGTGTGTGCATGAGCATATGTGTGTCTTCTCTGGGGGAAGTGCACTCATGAGTGGTATATTTTGTTGGGGTGTCTGCATGGGTAATCAATACCCAGGGCTGCTAGCTGTGTGTATGTGTGTGTTGTGTGCCAATTTGTGTGTCTGTATGGATCAGTGCAGGATGAATATGCATGTCTGTTTGCACTCTTGTGTGGCTTTTTTTCTGCTCAAAGCTGGCTTTCTATCACTTGAGCCACACCTCCATTACTGGTTAATTGGAGATAAGAGTCTTAGCCTCTTCTGCTTAAGCTGACTTCCACTCTGGGTCCTTAGATCTCAGCTTCCTGAGTAGCTAGGACATAGATGTGAATCACTGGCACTCAGCCCAGGCTGGCTTTCAACTGTGATACTCAGCTCTCAGCTTCCTGAGTAACTAGGATTATAGACATGAGCCACACAATCTGGCTTTCCCACCATATTTGTGCACACATATGAAAAAGGAACCTTCTTATGCTCTTATTGCTGCAGCTTTCAGAATCAACTGATACCTGGGTGCTGCAAGATGAAAGGCAATGAAGAAAGAATGAGGAAGTAAGCTTGCCCTTAAGAATTAGTGGGATGAAGGCTGGGAAGTTGGCTCAGTGGTAGAGCGCTTGCCTTGCATGCCTGAGGCCCTGGGTTCGATTCCTCAGCACCACATAAGCAAAAAGAAAAAA